GGTGTACAGATGTAACTGTGTTAAAGAAGATGTGCTGTTCAGATCTAGAAGTGCTCTTCATTAACTGCAAGCCGTTCTATTCGCCACGGGAGTTTTGTTCGTTCATTCTCGTTAGTGTCTACATTCCTCCGCAAGCGCATGTGAGCTCGGCTTTACAACAACTCGCTGATCTGATCACAGACACAGAACAACAACACCCGGACTCTGTTTTAATCATTCTCGGGGACTTTAATAAAACCAATCTCTCCCGTGAACTGCCAAAATACAGACAGCACATCACATGTCCCACCAGAGACAGTAATATATTGGATCACTGTTACACCACACTAAAGAATGCATATCACTCTGTTCCACGGGCAGCTTTAAGACTCTCTGATCACTGTTTAGTTCATCTAATACCGACCTACAGGCAGAAACTGAAATCAGCTAAACCCGTATTAAGGACCGTAAAAAGATGGACAAAGGAAGCAGAGCAGGATTTACAAGCTTGTTTTGACTGGTCATGAAGTCTTTTGAAAGACTGGTGCTGGCCCACCTGAAGGACATCACTGGACCCTTGCTGGATCCTCTTCAGTTTGCCTACAGAGCAAACAGGTCTGTGGATGATGCAGTTAACATGGGACTGCATTATGTTCTGCAACATCTAGACAGACCAGGGACTTATGTGAGGATCCTGTTCGTGGACTTCAGCTCGGCCTTTAACACCATCATCCCAAACCTCCTCCTGCCCAAACTAACTCAGCTCTCCGTGCCCACCTCCGTCTGTCAGTGGATCAACAGCTTCCTGACAGACAGGCAGCAGCTAGTGAGGCTGGGAAAATACACATCCAGCACCCGTACGATCAGCACTGGAGCTCCTCAGGGTTGTGTTCTCTCTCCACTGCTCTTCTCCCTGTACACCAACGACTGCACATCTAAAGACCCCTCTGTCAAGCTCCTGAAGTTTGCAGACGACACCACACTCATCGGCCTCATTCAGGACGGTGACGAGTCTGCTTACAGACAGGAGGTCGAGCAGCTGGCTGTCTGGTGCAGTCTCAACAACTTGGAGCTCAACATGCTTAAAACTGTGGAGATGACCGTGGACTTCAGGAGAAACCTCACTGCACTCCCCCAACTCACCATCATGGACAGCACTGTGACTGCAGTGATACAAAACTGTCTATTGTAATATACCTGCAAATACAATTGTCGATTTATATATTTTTATTCCTTATTTACTTGTTCTATTTTTCATTTTTTATTATCTGTGTTTTTTTGTTCTGTCACTGTCATTCTGTTACACTGTGGAAGCTTCTGTCACGAAAACAAATTCCTCGTATGTGTAAACATACCTGGCAATAAAGCTCATTCTGATTCTGATTCTGATTCTGAAATTTTAGCTAACATGATGATTTCCAAGCTAGTAGGACTCGTTCCTGCAAATGTTGTCCATCAATTAGTGATAAAAAAAAAAATTCCGCACTGGTGGAAACAACATGCTACCACAACTGTTTAGTCGATCTGCGTTCAAATGCATGCAATAGGCTAAAGCTTGCCGCAAAGCCCCAGCAAAAGTGCCACGAGTCTGAAGCAAGCCTAACTAACCAACTCTTTCACAGAACAGCTTGCAACATTAACACAAAATAACAACTCAGGAAGGAGATTGTCAATTTTGGGGCAAGTAAGCAAGATTGATGGTCAAAGAGATGCACAGCATGACCATCACATGTAAATCCATGATAGTAATCACGATCACAAGCTCTTTGGATTGACTTCCCCCCACCTAGAGGACAAGAACCAGATTGAGATTCCTTAGGAGACATTTTAACCTCTCTGGTCTTCACAGAACATGTCCTTATGTTCACAGAATGGCACAGCAACTGTCTTTTACAGATGTAGATGCACCAAAATGAACTCAAAATGACTTATAAACGAATATCAGTCCATTGCTTAACTCCATATCATGTATGTAACCCACACATTTGACTATCATGTTTTAATCACTTATTGTGTATGTCTTTTTAATAACTATTGAATAGCTTAAGGGTTCATATTCATGTTTAGTATGTGTGTGTGTTTGAATCTTCTTGCTTGAAACGTTTCTTCCAATCAATTCTTTGTCAAATGTATCATATTCTTGTTATAGAAATCATGTCCAAAATTATACTTTGCAAGACCGGGAAAATTCGGACCATGTGACTGATGAGATGACATGTTGATGTATGTATTGGGAGGAGAAACATACAACACCCCAAGAGAAACAGTTGTCAATGTGGGGGCAACACATCAGCACATGCCGCCTGCTGCAGTTAACAGCAAACTAACACTGCCACTCTGAAATGGCCTCATTAGCGCTACAGCAGCGCTGCCGGGTCTCAACTCCTCTCTGAGGTTATATAAAGTAGATGTATGTTTGTGTGAAAGAGCGTGTTATTGCATAGACTTTTTTGCTAGCGTGTGTGTGTGTGTATAACCTGCCGTTAGTCACACCTGTTCTCCATGTCGGCGCTGCACTTGGGTGACAGAAGCTCAAAGGACTTGGTAAACTTCACCACCTGCGGGAGACATTAAAGCGAGCAGTATTAGAGAGATGCAGCAGGCAGGGGATGGGGAGGAAGAGGAAGGATCAGAGCGTACCGGAGATTCGATGTCCTCCAGAAGCTGGACGGAGCAGCGTTCACACTTCAGCAGGGTCTGAGCTCGATGCATGATCTTCCTCACGATCTTCTCCAAATCGGTCTGCTCTTCGAACAAATCGTTCACAACCTCCAGAAGAGCCTACACACACACACACACACACACACAGAGAAAAGTCTGAAACATACTTGACACAAGTATATGAATGCAAATTCAAGTAGAATTCACGTGTTGCATTCTGAAGTACGCATGGCATTTGGTGTGTTTCTACAAGGGCCCTAAAGCAGGAATTAATGTTAAATGTCGTATTCTATGGCCAGTTATGTCTTTCAGGTCAACTGCATTTTCAAAGGGAGAAATCATCAAATCTGTCATCATGTGCTTACCCTAATTTAATTTCAGACCCATTTTTATTTTCTTTCTTGAATGTACTGGTGTTTTATCCAATTAATGGAGACAGAATTTAGTTGAAAAGGGATTTGTGAGTATTAATCTATTGATTGTGGCAGCAGTAATTAATACAATTATGATCAAATGATGGAGAAGAGCCATATAAATGGGCAAAACCTTGAAAAAGCAGTGCATTTAATTGTACTGAATTTGTACTTGCAGTGTACTTCAAGTACATAAAAATAAACTTAAAGATAATATAATAATGAAATAAAAGGCCACTTAAGTGTACTTAAAGACAGTTCACTTTCATTACTGTTTCATGAAACATTTAAATTACTTTTAAAAAGTGCACTTTGTAATAATGTCAAATTAAAAGTTTTACTTTAAAGTACATTTTAAATGACTATCCTTTAATAATCTGTTGACATGCTTTAAAATACACTTATTTTGATGTGTTGACTAACATACTGACGCAAATGTAAAGTACTTGATTCTAATTTTAACTGTGGTGTGTTACTTGATATTACATTTCAAGTTAAAATTGTATTTAGTGTTTTAAATCTACTAAATTGCAGCTTCATCATTACAAATGTGCAATAACAAATGTTATATTATTCAATGTTGCATTTAACATTAATATATTTTTAAATGTACTAGATTGCAACATTACAAATATGTAATTGCAAATATATTTAAATACATGAAAAACAAGTTTCAATATAAATAGCATTAAAGTATATTTTAGTTTTCCATAAATGCTTGTAAGTACATTCAGCATTACTTAAACTATATTTCAGAGACAAAAGAATTAATTATGAAATTACATATAAAAATGTACTTAAGTTGTTCTTAAGCAGGTCAAAAAAGCACTTTAACGTTCAGCTAATTACTTTTAATGGAAATGTAATCTATAATATATTATAATTCAGTTGGAATTAAGTGTCTGAAAACATTACGTTCAGTCAACACTTAAGTATATAATTTTAAATATATTATTTACATAGTAAATGCTGTTTTTGAAAGTATACTACAGTAAAGTGTTCTTTTTCACAAGAGTTTATCCAGACGTGCGCTGTTGAAGAGCCGATTCAGGTGATAAAGTCTCAGTAAAATATGCCAAATTACAGTAATCTGAAGCATACTACAAAAGCTAGCACTCAGAATCGCGCTGTGTAAGATTAATTCAGCCTTAACTTTTTGGATGTCTTTGCACTGTTATACATGATTTGCATAATTCCTTTAGTGAACTGACTGCTAAAACATCAAGTGTGTGCAAATGACCAATGCTATAAGCAGGCACCATTCATTCTTAGTTATCTATGATGGGAGACTCACAGAAAATATGGTAATGGCTGCCAACAGTAGTTTTTCAAGTTCACCCATGTTAACAGAGCGAGTACAATTATGGCTTACTCTAAAATAGCGCAAGTCGCATGTACGCTGAATGATCACTTGAGGTCCCTCACTTACTGCTTATATCTTTCTCATTCTCTCTCTTCTTCGTTCTTTTTGTCTCACATTATGTTCCTCGGTGATCGATATTTAAAATGTGTAGATGACGCTGTAAGGATGCCACAACTCAGATTTATGCTTCCCCAGCCACACACACATCTCTTCTTGATTCAAAACCTCTTGATGCAGGAACAGAGTGTGTAGGAAGCAAAAGATCAATAGACAGATAGACACATACTACGTAATAAACACCCACATGACATTTACAGCGCGCACACACACACAGCAGTCTTGTTACAGTAGGAGGGGTGCAGAGATATAATACGGTTTTAATGAAGTGCTGAAGTAAGTGTGTTCTTACCCTGCTGCTGTCGTACTCTTTCCTGGAGGCAGCGAACAGTTGGGCGTTTGAGATGGCAATACCACAGAACGGCAGGTACATCTGCAACACCTGCACAGACACAAGAGTGTTTTGAAGTGTAGAGTCAATGTGAGTCTAAGGTGGTTGGATAAACACCAGAACAATAGTCTCTCCAAAACCCAGAGTGGTTTCAGCCTTGCAAAGTACTGTACCAGTAGTTACAGTAAAATTACATTCCTAACCCTTAGCCTAACCCTCAAGAGCAAATTTGTAATTAATATACTTTGAATGATTTGAATGGATATGCACATTCATTCTGGCAGTTCTACTTGTGTGTCAGTGTATTTTAATCAATTGAATTTTAAAATCAACTGATTAAAAATTTAATTAAATGAACTGCATGATATGCCCATTAATTAATCAGCATTAATCACATAAAAAAAATTATTACAATTTGCAGAGAAAAGCCGACAAATGAAGAAAATTCTACAAACATACTGAAAAAAGTGAAATGACAGTCATTTATTTCAGCTGCATTTTTAAACTGGTCTAATAATAATAATATGGTTTCCTATATAAACCTGTTTAAATATTATTTTCACAAGACACCAGTGTTGATGTGCAGAACATATTCTGACTGCAGATATTATTGTAGGTTTTATTTTATTTATTTATTAGCACATAGCAGAAAATATTATGCATACTTAAAAAAAACGTCACAATAAACATTAAGGTATTTTATTAATTGTCTGTATTTATAGTAAGTAAACCAAATGAAACTATGACTAACAAAACGTTAGTTTTATCTTAAGTTCTACTTTCATATCATGGCTAATTTATATTTTACATTGACCTACATTAAGTAACATTTTGGTTTATGTCTATAGAAAATATATTAAGTATATGGTAAAACATATTTTTTTATTCTGTATGATTGTTTTTATCTTTGGGAAAAAATTTATTTTTTAATCAGCTATAACAAATTAAGTTGGTCTAAAGTATAATTTTTTCTGCGCATTATTATTTGGAACAAAATATATATTTTTAGGGATATCCTAATCAGGTTTTTTGTCCCCCGATCTGATCCGAATCATTGAATGTTGAGTATCTGCCGATACCAAGTCCCGATCTGATATATTCATACAGGAATGTATTTTTGGTGCACACTTCAAGTACATTAAAGATATTCAAAGCAATCCAATGTATACAGAGTTGTGTATGGAGTAAAAGTATGTGTGTGCATATATATATACAGTGTATATATATATATATATATATATATATATAGGATGCATGTATATGTATGTATGTGTATATATATATATATATATATATATATATATATATATATATTACAATATACACTCTCTCTCTCTATGTATATACATATATGCATACAATGTATACAGACACTGGCAGATGTAAACATGTTACAATGGAAGACAATGTAATGGTCAATAATTACAACATAAAGGGGAAAAAGTGGAGATAAGGTTAGAAAGCATGAAGCTTGTGGTGTCAAAATAGCAGTCTATCAGTCAATTTCGAAGCAAGACACAACATACAACAATGCACTATGACAACGAAGTCCAGCGTTGCCAGATTGAAAATGTCCAAGTATCGTACCAGAAGCTCAAAATTATCATATTTGCAAGAAAATTATCGTACACGAGTCAAACGTACAGAATACAGCTATTTATCTAGACCAGGGGTGCCCAACCCTGCTCCTGGCGATCGACTGTCCTGCAAAGTTTAGCTCCAACTCTAATCAAACACACCTGCCTTTAATTTTTAAGTGATCCTGAAGACCTTAATTAGTTGCTTCAGGTGTGTTTGATTAGGGTTGGAGCTGAACTTTGCAGGACAGTCGATCGCCAGGAGCAGGGTTGGGCACCCCGATCTAGACCAACAACTTTTTGACACCTGCAAATAACCACAATAGATAAATAACTAAGCGTACCTTAGTGGGAAGGTCCAAACTCCACCTCTGAATCGCTGTCATCGGAAGCATGAGTCTTGCCAGATTTTGACGGGGATCCTTTTGCGGTACAGATTTGATGCCATCATGGACCGCAACAGCTCTTTGGCTTAAAAGCAGGGCACCCTCCTGCATTCTTAACACACTCCGAGGTGTGCACAAGCCCATTTAGAGTGTCTGTAATGAGTCGATTTCGTGGCTTTGATTTGATGAGGTTGACTTTGGAAAAAACACGTTCACATGATGCATTTGAATGGGGAAACACGAAAACATCGAGGGCAAACTTTCCCAATTCGCTGAACCCGATTACCCCCTAAAAATCCTCCAAAGTAAAGATATGGTGGCAGAATTTATCAACATCCATTGCCTTTGTATCTTCGCTTAAGGCCGAGTGGCAATCGCCTCCATTTGTCATCGATGGCTTGGAGACGGTCTGCGTCTATGTCACTAAACAGTGGCACTTTTGCATGAGGGGAAGCAAAGACAGATGCTCTGCTCGTGCCTTGGCATCATTCGCAGTGGCAGGGGAGAGGCACACGATTTGGGTGGAGAGGGCATCAAGTCAAACCATTTCTTGATTTCTCCGCAGGCAACCCGGAGAAAATTCTGACAGCGCACATGAAAATCTGTCAGGGTGGCTGCTGGTCATGCTGTTTCACTTTTACACTCAAGTACAGCGTGTTTAGTGGTCTGAGCTTTTTGCATTTCACAGACCTTGCTTTTCAATGAAGTAATCACCACCTTTTCAATTTGAAAATATTTATTAAGATCTGTGAATATAGGTAGCACACACTCTAGAAAATAGTAGTACAGGTGAAGAGACTCATCATTAAGGGAGTGAAAATATTCTCCTCAGTGGTTAATCCTGCCTCGAGCCACTGGTCAGTGTAAAAAAGACGGAGGGCATTCCACTGGGTGGACACACGTTTCACAACTTCGCTCAATGACAGCCATCTGGTCTGGGAGGGCTTAGTTTAAGGGGTTCAACATGGCCAAAGTCTTGAAATTCTCAGAGCTGTGCGTCACGTTTTGCACTGTTTGTGAAATATCCATAAATGTCTCTGGCAAAATCCTCGCACCTGCAGGGGAGCTGCTTGTGTGCATGTGGCACACACACCGCTGCACTGTGATGCCCGACAGATCATATCGCGGCTAGAGATCTAACTGTTTTTTCCCATCATTGTATTGCAGCCATCTGACCCGAACCCCTATATGTTTTGAATTGGTTCATCTGCATCAGTGAATGACTTCATCATCTCGTTGTAAAGCCTTTCTGCAGTGGCCCCCAAACTGTCTGTGTTGGTCTAAATAGATTTGCACCAGTTTCCAGAAATGGGTCTGAATCCTGTTTGTGCCCTCATCGAAAAACGAACAATGACACAAAGCGTTTTCACATTCCCAATGTCTGTTGACTCGTCAATCAAAACGCTGAATTTTTCCTTTTCAGGATTTCGGTTAGACTCTCAAAGTAACAGTCGCCAGTGACATGCTTGGTTATAGTTGTCTTTGTGTGACCAAGGCTCATGTGCTGACCTGTTTTCGATTCTTTAAATATATCTTTTAAGACCTTGACCAAATGGTCCAAGGTTCTCAATGCTATGCTGTGCTCTGCCATGTTAGCTTTATCTCAATGAGTATAGAAGTCCTATGATTACAACGACCATCATTTGAAGTGACACAAAATTCTGAAATTATCGTACTTTATGGGTTTTTTTTCATTATTGATCGTACATCGTACAGAGGTCAAAATTATCGTACAAATACAATAATTATTGTACATCTGGCAACACTGACGATGTCTCAAATAGTCTGATGGCAGATGAAAGTAAATGATAAATGTGATCGTTACAAAAGTGCACATCAAATAGCTCAAATGTGTGTGATGCACTAGAACAGACTTCACCATTTCTCACATGCCATGCACGCACGTTTGAGCTTCTTCTTTTCCTTTTATTGGCGGTTGGCAAACCTCACATAATGTCGCATACCGCATACTGACGTAAAATAAGGATCAGGCTTAGGAGAGAAAAATGCTTGAGATCGGCTCAGGACATCCCCATACATTTCTCAGGTTTCTCCACACACTATGCCCATTTGCCATTGGTCGATCAAACAGATAGTCCCGAACCCAACTTACACCATTGTTAAACAGCCATTTTGGACAAATGTCTAATATATGATTTTTTTTCTCCAAAAACCAGTTTAGCAGAAACCCCTCCTTGCAGCGATTTCACTGGCCAATTTAATCATGCAGTCATCTGTCAAGAAAAGTTCAAACTTAAGAAAAATAACAAATGGATCCATTGAACATCAATGGATATGATCACAACAAACAATAATGTTATCTATCAGGATGTGTGACCAGTTGTAAGGTTATGTTTAGGGTTAGGAGTCTCAACATTCTGAACAGTGACTGCCATGACCAATAAAATCTACAGAATCAGTTTCCGGGTGGGGTTATTTTACCATAAACTGCTTAACTTTTTAGATTAAGTTTTAAACACTTTACCTTTTGTGGTTGTATCAACCTGTCACCTACTGATTCAGTGCTGGATTAACATACAAACGAAAAACACAAAGTTGTGCTCATGTGCTATAATTGTGTTCAGTTTTTCTCTCTCTCCCTCACACACGCACACACACACACGCCCACACACAAAAACGTCTCGGTTACATATGTAACCCTCGTTCCCTGAAGGAGGGAATGGAGACGTCACGTCGCTGTATCTATTCCAGACATCCTAGGCATTTATGAAACAACTACAATAGGATTATTACTATCTTTCTTTTAAATTTATTTAATAAATTATTTGAGAATAAATAATGCCACGTCAGGTGGGGACATTAGATCTCCCATAATGCAAATGGAAATCAAAGCCTTTATTTCTGTAAAGCCTGACATATGAAATAATAGTCAGAAAAATCTTTTTTTTTTTTTTAAATGGTACAATTTATTGGAACTACCTAATATAGCATAACAGAGAAAATATGGATGTCAAATCTTGAGAAGTAAAAACACCTCAATTTTATTCAGGGGCCAAAACTGAGTAAAAATATGCAATTTGGTGCAGATGCTCATAATAGTCAAAAAGTGGTCAAAAATATGGTCAAA